GTTCGACTACTCCGCCTAGGCTGCACTGTCAAGCGCAGATCCACTGAGCGCTCAACACAGACAGCATCGTCAGAAGGAAAGTTGATAAAATAAATTAAAAATTGTGTATCGTTCGATACATACGCGTACTGAACCGAAAACACTGTATCAAACGGTTCAATATCGATACGAGTATCGTTGCACCCCTAGTAAATAGAATTGTGTTAAATGAGATTAAATTATCTCAAGCAGACATTTTTATTTATGAAATAGCAAAAATCCATGTTTTTATGCTTATGCACCAACCAGTGAAGATTAATCTGAGCAAGTAGATCGAACATTTAGTCTTCATTGATAGTTTATCAGTGAAGACTAAATGTTCGATCCACATGATATTTGGCACAAATATCTAAATTATTGTTACTCATTCAAAGGGAACCAGCAGAAGTCTTTGACTTGTGTTTGACTAAGTGAAAGACAACAGAGAGGCCAATAAAATGTCAGAGGAAACCAGCTCCAGCAGTAAAAACACAAAAGCTGGCTTTCATATTATTATTCTCTGTCGCTCCACAGCTCCAACCAGCGTGTCCCGCCCACGCTTAGATCTGAAGTAACACACTTACCTGCAGGTCAATCTGGTATATGGGGTCTTTCAAGGCATCTGGATCATCCTCATCGTCGTCCTCGTAATAATCGTCATCTATAAAAATAACATTTTATTCGCTGAGGTGAAACAACGTTCTGTCGTGAACACTGAGAGAGAGAGAGGGAGCTGCTCTTAGAAGAAATTAAGATGAAATCCAGTGAGGAGATACTGGTACCGTATTTGTTAGCGGCAATGAGATCAGAAAGAAGCTGCCCCGCCAGCCCTTCGTCCTCGTCGTCATCATCCTCCACCTCGTCCTCCCCCTGGTCCTCCCACATACCACTGGAATCTAAGAGGAGCAGAAATAACAGCTGGTTACTGAAAGGTCTGCTGTCCCAGCAATTCAATAGAACAACTGAACAAACTGCGATTTTTCAGTAAGTCAGAAAGCTTCACCTGCCCAACATGATGCACTTCTAGAGACCTGAGTTAACATCACATTTAGGAACTACAAATATAATTGATTTAATGAGTGCATTTGTAAAAGGACTGGAGCTCCCCCAACAGGCCTGTGTGGTGTTTCTGACTTCTGGTGACG